GAGGAGGAGGAGGAGGAGGAAGAGGAGGAGGGCATCTGTCATTGTGGATGGGCCCCTTTCCTAGAGCTTAGCTGCCTCACATGGACCAGTGGCTGGTGGCAGGTGGCCAGAGTAATGGACCACTGTACAGCCCACAGACCTGAGCTCAAGCTGGGCAGCAGCATCTGTCTGCCAAGTGGACTCGGGCAGGTTGCTTTACCTCACTGGGACCTGAACCTATGCCCTTCGCACTGAGCTACGTCCCTACCCCTTTTTCTGACTTTCTGTTTTGTGGCTGAGTGGCTGAGTTGCCCACACTGGCTTTGAACTTGCTGCTCTCCTGCCTCAACCTCCCAGAGAGGCGGGATAAAAGCGCATACCACCACAATGGCCTTTTCATCTCTTCCACTCTGTTTCCACAGCTATGCAAATGTGCACAGTAAGATTTTTCTGCTTCACATAAGATAGCTGTCCGGGTAAAATTAGATTCCAACACAGTGCTAATTGCTTAATAAGTGTTTATCATTATCATTAATGGTTAGTGATAAATATCACATGCAACCTGTTAATTAAAAGTGTAGTAAGCTACTCATTAGTGTCCAAAGCCACCTCTCAGCTGCTGGTGTCTGTCCTGCCCTCTGGTGGCAGAGCTGCCACTCTCTCCAGGAACCAGGCTTCCCCACAGTTTTTCTGTTCATCTCCTGGGGTGTGGAGTCCAGAGGCTGCTAGGATCAGTGCAGCCTGGTGGGCAGCGGCACAACACCAGCATCAGGGCTCCTTTCCCACCACCCTGGGAGGCAGAGTTAGCCTGCACATGTGTACAATAAATGTCCATTGTGTAGCCATCCTGGCAAGGTATCCTCACAAGTAGGGTAAGCATCTTGCTTTTCTAATGGCCTCAGCCAGCTGTGGTGGTGTATGTGTGCAATCTCAGTCTAGGAGGCTGCAGCAGGAAGATCAATCGTTTGAGCCCAGCCTGGAGAATTGTGACAGAGGGCCGGGGAGATGGCTCAGTGGAATAAGTGCTTCCCTGGCAAGCGCAAGGGACTGAGTTCAATCCCTGGTTCCGCTGAGAGAGAGAGAGAGAGAGAGAGAGAGAGAGAGAGAGAGAGAGCAAAACCCTGTCGACAGACAGACAGACAGACAGATAGGTAGATAGATATCCAGGCATAAGAACACACATCTGTAATCCCAGTACTTGGGAGGCTGAGGCAGAAGGCTCACCATGATTTTGAGGCCAGCCTGCACTACATAGGGAGACCCTGTCTCAAAAAAAAGAATAGGGGTTGGGGAGCTGGGGATGTAGCTCAGTGTAAAAGCCCTGGGTTCAATCCCTTGCAACACAAGCACATTAGATTGTCACTGGCTTCTTACTGAGTGAGAGCTGTCTGTTGTGACATGCATGGTCAAGACAGGAAGTAAAGACATGGTCCCTGCCTGCACACTTGCAGTCAACCACAAAAATAAACCTAAAAGTGCAGTTGTGGCATGGGAGCCCTCAGAAGTGCAGCCCACAGCAGTGAGGATGACCCAGCTGGGGGCTCTGAGATGTCATCCCAAAGACAGTCACCTTTGAGCTGAATGACGCTGATTGCCAGGGAATAGGAACAACACACAGAGACGCAAGCATAGCCTGTGCCAGTGACCTGCGGCTGTCGGGGACTGTCAGGGTGGTGGTGGAAAGAGGGCATGGGAGTGGAGGAAGAGGTTCAGACCAAAGGCTCCAGGACATACGGCTTTGTGAATCTGGCTCCCTCATACCCAGCCCGGGGAGAAATGGTTCAGCCCCAACTGTACAGAGCACTGTAGCTGCCAGCCAGGCGGCCGGATGGAGTGCCAGCTCTCTCAGTGCGGGACACACACCGTGTGCCAGCTACAGAATGACCAGTACGGATGCCACCCATACGGTGAGTGCCTCCCGCCTGCTAACGAGGGGCTTGACATCCGCGACTTGTGCCTTCCCGGGAGTGGAGGAGCTGCCGTGCCACCAGGCAGGAAAGCTGGGATGTTGGCCCTGCCTGATGTGGCCATGGGAAACAGCCTCTGGGTCCCTCATCTCCTCGGCAGGCACTGCCACCTGCATGGTGTATGGAGACCCTCATTACGTCACCTTTGATGAGAGGCACATTGCCTTCACAGGCAAATGCACATACATCCTGGCCCAACCCTGCCACAATGCCACAGGTAAGGCCTTTGGGTGCAAGCCACAGCCTGGTGGTCAAAGCTTCTGGGTATCAGGGACTGTGGGTGGCAGTGCTGGGAGGGAAGTAGATGGGTACAAGAGACTGTACTGAAACAGTGTCCTCCATAAGGCAGAGGTTGCAGGTCGCCCCAGAGGCAGGATCTCAGGCCCAGGCCACTGAGGAAAGTGAGTGTAACCTGTCATTTGTCAGTTGGGCGAGGTGGTGCACACCAGTCATCCTAGCACTCCAGGAGACTGAGGCAGGATGATCCCAAATTCAATCCCAGCCCCTCGTGGCTTAGGATTCCACTTTATTTATTTATTTATTTTTATATTTATTTGTGTGTGTGTGTGTGGCCAGCTCAGCCCACCAGGGGGCGGGGCTGGCTGGCATGTGGTGCTGGGGGATTGAACTGCGGTCCCTGTGCTTTGCTAAGCTTGTTGTAAGTAGGTGCTTTAGATCACTGAGCCATCTCACCAGCCCCCCTCGTGGCTTAGGAAAACTCTGTCTCAAAATAAAATAAAAACAAAAAGGGTCTGGGGATGTAGTTCAGTGCATAGGCCTTGGGTTCCATCCCAGTACCGGACTGGGAAAACAAAGAGCTCACTGAATGAGTCCCTGGGCCCTCTTCCTTCCTCTCCCTACCCAGAACCATTCTTCAGGGTGACAGCAAAGAATGAGGAACGAGGACAGGAAGGTGTGTCCTGCCTGAGCAAAGTCTATGTGACCCTGCCTGAGACCACCATTACCCTACTTAAAGGTCGAGGTACAATGGTAAGCTCCATACCTGTCCACCTCTGGGGAGGCCACCAGGCCACCCTGCCAGCCCCAACCTGGCCAAGGCATAGACCTGTGTAGGGTTCTGTGGAGGGCATCATGTCTTCCAGCTACGGAGGTAGGCGTCTCAGCTCCTCCTTGACCCCTAGATCAGTGACCCTCTCTTCCCGCTCTTCTTTCTACCAGGTTGGAGGCCAAAGAGTCACCCTGCCAGCCATGCCTGCTAAAGGTGTCTTTGTTGGTCCAAGTGGGCGATTTGTGGAGCTGCAGACTGTGTTTGGTCTGCACGTGAGATGGGACGGCGAGCAGCAGCTGTTTGTGACAGTGTCCAGGTGAGGGGTGGCCCCACTGGGTAGCTGCCTTGCACCGGGCTCCACACCCCCTGCGGACCCTTGCTTGCCGTCTAACCTCCTTCCCTTTGGAGCACTAACATTCAGCCATGTCGGGGCCTCATGATAGGCAGGAAGCTGCAAGCTTCCTGGGTCAGGGAGGCAGACAGCAGGATACGCGCGCACACAGAGCTTGGGCCTGGCTGCCAGCAGTCAGGCATGGGCTCTGCTTCACACCCACCCTTCTGGGAAATGGACAGACTTTATCCAAACAGTGAGGAGGGTGTGCAAAATCTAGCCAGAGTGATTGAGGGCCAGCTGGGGGTGTTTTATGGCTGGTGACTACATGATTGAGCAGAAAGGGCACAGAGAGACCATAGAGATAGCTCAGGGTAAGGTCCACAGACTCCTCATGTGCCTGGCACCAGGCATGGGGTCCATGTCCAAAGTAGGTACTTTTTTCTCTTCCCTTACTGCAGAACTGGGGATTGATCACTGAGCTACATCCCCAGCCCTTGCTAAGTTACCCATCCAGGCAGTGCTTGAACTTGGGATCCTCCTACCTCAGCCTCCCAGACTGCTGGGATGACAGGCATGCACCACTACACTTGGCAGGAGTAGGCACCTCTTAATCCCCCTTGTGCCTCCCTCGCTGCGATCCCTCGGATGACTGAACACCTCTTCCTCTCTTCATGCCACCCCCTCTCCCGGCTCCACAGTGCTTATGCTGGCAAACTCTGTGGTTTTTGTGGCAACTATGATGGGGACAGCAGCAACGATAACCTGAAGCCGAATGGTAACCCAGCACGGGATGATGAGGATCTGGGAAACAGCTGGCAGGTAGCCGCAGATGAGGACAGGGAGTAAGTGAGGAGCCCTCATGGGGTGGCCTGGTCCCCTTCTCCACCCTCCTGGTTTTTGCTGTCTTCTAAGATCCACTACGCTCTACCTGGGAGGTTGAGGCAGGAGGGTCAATTGAATCTACAACTTTGAGGCCAGTCTGAGCAACAGAGCAAAGCCCTGGCTCAAAAAAAAACCCAAAGAAACCACAATGACCAGCACTGCCCTTTCCCTTTGCCTGTCTGGAGACTCCGGGTAGCCTCTCTCTCTCCAGGCTTAGGGTTCCAGCATCCTCTCAACTCTGCCACCAGAGTAGCTCAGCCAGAGGCCAGCCTTGGCCCTGAGCACTGGGCTGTATGCCTTCCAGGTGCCTGCAAAACCAGGCAGACCTCCAGACCTGTGATGCTGCCTTGCAGGGCATGATATCGGGGCCCAGGTTCTGCGGCAGCCTAGTGGACTCCAGAGGACCGTTTGAGTATGCAGGAAGGCAGGGGGTGTGGGGTCCCCGGGGTCAGGAGACCACACTCCCTCCTGCTCACCTGGCCTCTTGCCCAGGGCCTGCCTGCTGCACCTGAAGGCCTCTCCCTTCTTTGACAACTGCATGCTGGACCTGTGCCGCTTCCAAGGGCTCCAGGCTGTGCTGTGTGCCCACCTGTCAGCCATGACTGCAGCCTGCCAAGATGCTGGCTACCCTGTGAAGCCCTGGAGGGGAACCCAGTTCTGTCGTGAGTTATGTCTGAAAGCAGGGGAGGAAATGTGGGACCTTTCCGTCAGATGCAGATAAGACATAAAAAATGGGCTTGAGCCAAGTGTAGTAGTGCACGCCTGTAATCCCAGCACTCGGGAGGCTGAGGCAGGAGGATCATTGGGAGTTTCAGGCCAGCCTGGGCTACAAAGTGAGCTCAAGGCCAGCCTAAACTGCACAGCAAGACCCTGTCTCAAAAAGATAGAAAAGGGGGGGGGGCTGGGGAGCTAGCTCAGTATAATAAGTGCTTGCCTGGCAAATGCAAGGTCCTGAGTTCAATCCCCGGTTCTGCGAAAAAAGGCGGGGAGGGGAGTGCTTAACTGGAAGTGGGTATGGCTTAGCCTACATGAGGTCCAGCATTAAATAATAAATACAGTTGGCATTGAAGCCCGGTGAGTTGGCGCATGCGTGGAATCTCCCACACCTGATGACCGGGTGGTGGCAGAGCTGGAAACATCCTTGAGAACATCACACAGTAGCTTGGAAACTCAGAGCGCTGGCTGGCTGGGTTGCTTGTTTTCTCTTATTTATTTTTTGCAACATTGGAAATTGAAGCCGGGGTCTTTATGCTTTACGCTAAGCTACACCTCCCACCTCTTTTTTCTTTTGAGACAGGATCTTGGTAAGTCGTTAAGTTGCTCAGGCAAGGCTCCATTTTGTAATCCTCCTGCCTCAGCCTCCGAAAGTGCTGAGATTGCAAGTTCATACCCCCACTCTGGGCTCAGGTGTCCCCTTCCCTCCCCCATCTGTCTGCTTCTCACCTGAGTGTCTCTCCCCGCAACCCCCTGCTCTGCAGCCCTGGCCTGCCCACGCAATAGCAGGTACTCCCTGTGCGCTAGTCCATGTCCAGAGACCTGCTACACAGCCTTCTCTGACAAGCCCTGCCGGCAGCAGTGTGTGGAGGCCTGCCAGTGCAACCCGGGCTTCGTGCTCAGTGGCCTCGAGTGTGTCCCCTGGGCCCAGTGTGGGTGCCTCAGTCCCACAGGGCGCTACTTCAAGGTGAGTGGCTGGAGTGACTCTCAGGCCAGCAGCCAGAAGGGACTGGCTTCTGGGGCCTGATCCTGGGCCTGGGGCCTGCGCTTCCTGCACCTAGCTGGGCCCTCCCTTCCCTTTCTCTTTTTGTGGGGTGCTGGAGCTTGAACCCAGGACCACCTCATGCTAAGCAAGTGCTCTACCACTGAACCACACCCAGAGATCTGCTCTGCTGTGGCTTCTTTATCAAACTCTTTCTTGAGTCCTGGGCTGCTTCCCATCTACCTTTGCCCACTGGACTCTGTCTCCTTCCTCGGGGGTCTGTTGAGCTGCTCCCTCCTCCTGGAAGCCTTCCTGATGAAACAAGTCAGAAAACATCTCAAGAAGCCAGATGTGGGGTGCATGCCTGTATTCCAGCCCTCTGAGTGGCTGAGGCAGGAGGACTGCAAGTTGAAGTCCAGCCCAGGCAGTTTAGCCATTTAGCAAGACTTTGTCTCAAAATAAAATGAGAAAGAGCTGGAAATTCATCTTGAAAAGGTCCTGGGTTCAATCTCCAGTACTACAAAAGAAAGTGAGGGAAAGAAGGGGGAAAGGGGGGGGAAGGGAGAAGAGGAGAGGGGAGGGAGGGAAACAGGGAGAACAGAACAGAAGGGAGAATTTCTAGGAAAGAGATAATTTCCATCCGGTTAATTACTGAATTTTTAACATCTAGCAAAATATAGACAGATAAAAATCAGCCAAAATAGTAAATAAACAAAGAAATGGTCTGGGTGTATAGGAGGTATGATATGGATCTTCAAATAATGTAAGGGAAATGCAACTCCCAACCTACTAGATGTCCAAAATGCTGAATTTTTGTTCTTTAAAATCAAGGAATAAGGGCCGGACAAATAGCTCAGTGGACTAAAGCACCTGCTTAGACAGGTGCAGGGACTAGGGTTGGATCCCTCGTGTGCCATGCTAGCCCGGCCCCCAGGGCACACTGAGAGGGCAGCTGAGACTGCACATGGTGGCACACGCCTGTAATCCCAGCACTTCGGAGGCTGAAAACAGGAGGATCACTATGGGTCTGATCTGTGTAGTGAGACACTGTAGACCCTGTACTAAAATCCATTAAAATAAATAAATAAAATTGAGGAATGATGGCTGGAGACATAGCTCAGTGGCACAAATATCTGCCTGGAAAGTATGTGCAAGTTCCTGAGTTGATTCCTGGACTAAATAAATAAATAAATAAATAAACAAAATGATAAAATAAAATTGAGGAATGGGCAGGGCATGGTGGTGCACACCTGTAATACCAGCACTCAGGAGGCTGAAGCAGGAAGATCACCACAAGCTTGGGCTACATAGTTCAAAGCTAGCCTGAACTACATAGTGAGACCCTGTCTCAAAAA